TTCTTAACATACAAATCTTTATTTTGAAATTTTGTGTTAAAAAAAAAAGAAAAATTATGCCAATTTGGAAGCTGTTTTAGCCTGTTGGTGTCTTGTGGGGATATTTCATCTCCTCTTTTTAGTATATGCTCTTTTGATTAATACTATTCTTTGTTCCTTATATAAAATAAAGATCTAGTTGATGTTTACAATTCATAGGACATCATTGTCAAGTACTTGATCTATATACAACTTTGCTGATGGGTATGATCGAGATGAACTTTATTTTCAGGATTATGCTTCTGTCTCCATTCATTTATGTTCTAATGCTCTTTAATTGTGATATATTAGTCTTGCATAGAAAGTGTCAGAGCAATCTTGGAGAATCAGCCTGCTGCTTTTGAGGTTGAGATTCTTTACAAGTTGAAGTTTAAGGTGATTTAACCATTTATTAGTTTGTTAATAAATTTGTTTGCTTTTGATCTTGATGGATTTCATATCTATTCATATTTATCAAAATACCTGGTTTCATTTCAAGTAGATTTTGGAACTCAGCATCCAGCTTCCAGAGACAGAAATGGTACTGGATTTAATAAGGCAAGCTGAACTGCATCGTTCTAGATGTGCAGAAATTATGAAAGCTCCCATGAACTTGAAGGTTACCTTTGTTATTTGTCATTCCTTTTTCACCTCAATTCGATATTTGGTAATTTGAGACATGTATCTTTCTGAGTTATGTCTTGCAGACTGTCGAACTGTTCCTTCAAGAATCCAACAGTTTTGCTGTTAATATACCTGAACTGAAGCTTCTAAGACAGTATCATAATGATGCTGTTTCATGGAATGCTCGTCTTAATACTGTTTTGGTTAATGTCCATGAACGGGAGGATCAACATAATGTAATTGAAGAATTAAATTGCATTCTAAGAGATGGATTATCATTGACTATAAAAGGTTTGTTCATGTGCTAATTCTTTTATTTGGGTACTAGTTTTTTAGAAAAATATCACACGGGGAACAAAATGATAAAATCAGTTGTGACAAATTGCTTCAACCAGCCATGATATTTCTTGTTCCCCACTCCACTTTGTTTGGGTACTAGCTAAGTTAACATATCCATCCATTTTATAATTTTTAGCTAGTGCTAATGTAGTTTGCCTTCTGTTTCTTGGACTTTTTTGGGGTGGGCTGAGACAGTTGATGACTTACCTTTAGTTGAGGTTGAGTTGAAGAAGGCTTCTGTCAGGGAAAAAGCTCAGAAGGTGGGTCAGTGTTACACTTAAACTATTTGGCATGTGAATGTATTTAGGCATTTTCAGTCATTTATCGTCTCTTCAATTTTACTATCATGTTGACGAAGTTATTTTTTTCCTCATGAATTTGATGGAACTTTGATGCAGTTATGCGATACCAAGGTTACTATGGATTTCATGCAGAAATTGATGGAGGAGGCTGTAGAGTAAGTGATATTGTATAAGACATTTTTTTCGGAATTCATGAGAACTATGACATTAAAACATTGGTTATTGCTATTATAAATGACTGTAAATTCTTGAGTTCCCTCTTCTCCAGATTAGAAATTGACGAGGAAAAATTGTTTGCTGATGTTCATGGAGTTCTTCATTCAGCAATGAGTTGGGAGAAGAAGGCCATGGATTTTCTAGCGCATGGGGCACAGTTATCTGATTTTGAAGAGATTATAAGGTTTCCAGTCTCCCTCTCGTTAATAAATAAAAACATATGCTTTATTGGTTCAATATTCTTGTGCAAACTGTCACAAATTTTAATTCTGAAAATGTTTAGGACTTCTGAAGATTTACGTGTTATACTACCTTCCCTTCGTGATGTCAAGACTGAAGTATCCTTGGCCACGTCCTGGTTAACTATTTCAAAGCCTTTCTTAGAATCTGTTGTCCCCATGTCATCTTCATCAAGATCGCAACTGAAAATTGAAACACTAAAGGTTCTTGTTTTCTTCCATGTATGGTATATTTTTTTTTAGTACCTGGACTTTGATATTTGACGTACTCTCCATTTTGCAGGAGTTGGTTTCTCAGTCTAAGTTCCTTAAGGTCACTTTGGAAGAATGTAGAATGCTTGCCATGGTTCTGAGAAACTGTGAGGAGTGGAAACATGAAGCGAACTCTTTATTGCAAGATATTGATCATCTTTTCAATGCGAGTGATATAGGGGATGGATTGAGCAATTGTCTTGTTTCTAAGATTGAACAATTAGTTGATAGAATCAATACTATTATTACAGACGGTTTTTCTCTTGGTTACGACTTCTGTGAGATTACCAGACTTCAAAGTGCTCGTTCTACGCTCATCTGGTGCAATAAAGTTCTTTCTCTTTGCCATACTATTCCTTCTTATCAGGTAGAATTGAAAGTTTGTCGAACGACTCGAACCATGTTGTATTTATTTATTTTTGATACGGAACACTTCTACGTGAGTCGAGGGAAGGAATGTTGGATTGGACCTGCAATCCATTTAACTGAAAAGACTATGATTTTATGGCAGGATGTTGAGAGCTTGTTGGGGATTGAAGAGGATAATTCATGTTTATACACCTCTGGTGTTATGTGGAGCTTATTGATGGAAGGTGTCAAATGGCTGAAGCGAGCCTTAGAAGTGATTCCTGTAACATGCAATTCTAAACGAAGAAAGTTGAGTGATGCTGAGGAATTACTTTCCAGCTTTGAGGTACCATCCTTCTCTTTCAGCCCAACATATAAAATGTAAGGGTTTTAAATTTTCTTTTAGATTCTTAATGTTTGTTCTGTTTTTAGAGGTTTGAATGTCTTCTACTTGCAGAGTATCAGAATCAACTTTTCAGCCATGATTGGTCAACTAGTAAATGCTATTCAGAAGCACAAGTGATTTTTCTTGTCCTTTGACTTATTAATTTCTTCTTATTCCTGTTTTTGTTGGATGAGATTTTGTGAGTTGAATGTATGGACAATTCAAATTTTCATACATACAGACAAACATTCATATTTGTAGGCATGTATGTATGTGTCTTCCTGCTTCATCTAAAACTTGCTAAGACTTTTGAATTCACGTGCATGAAAACCTACATCAATAACTTTTTCTTCGTCAAAGACAGCAGAAAGTGTCAGCATCGTCTTTCTGATCTAGCTGTTTTACTGTAATTTGTTAAGTTACTTAACTGTTTATTAACTTTTCAGAAAAAAATGACAATAATTTCTGAAATTTAATATGCATTTGTATATGTTAGTGAACCCCCAACTGTGTGTATATCTCTGATTGTTCAGAAGTACCTTGATGTAATCCATATTAATATATTAGTTAGTTAGTTAGCTGAAGGGTTGTTTAGGTCTGTCAGTTAGTCTTGTTGGGTTAGTTATATCCTAATGTGTTTGTTAGTTCTGTTTGGGGGCTTTTCCTATATAAAGAGGCCTTTCCCCTTAGATCATTAGATCATTCAAGTATTGAGTAAATCATATTTCTCTCTTGTTGGGTTACATCATACCTTAGATCTATTGCCTACTTATATATGGCTATTATTGTCATGTAGGTTGTGGAAAGAAGAAGTAAGTCAATTTTTCGCTATGAAGCATGCTGAACGATCATGGTCTCTGTTGTTTAAGCTTAAGGTATGTCATTTTGCTTGATTCTTCTACAATGATTTAATAGGTGGACATCACCTTATACTTTTTAACATCCAGGAAAAAGGAGACATCGTTTCCTTCAATTGCTCCGAGCTACATTTAATTTTTTCCGAAGTTGAAAAGATTGAAAAGTGGAAAAAATGTATGGGGGATGTCATGCAAACATCTTCTGAGGATGAGAATTCTTTGCCTGGTCGTCTACTAGAGGTTCTGATGAAATAATAGTACTTTTTCTCATTGAAAGCTGATCATACATTTTTTTTTTTGAAGGAATTTCTAATATCATATTTGTCATGTAGATAAAGAAATCACTGGACAGATCCTTATACATATACGAGAAGTCATTGCTCTACACGGATCAAAACTTATGTGTGTGTGGCTCCAATGACTTGCAGGATCGGCAGCTTTTTATTTGCTCAATATGTAAAGAAAGGTAAGGTAAATTTTACTTTGCCAAAGTGCTAGAACCCAAAATTTTCAACTGATAACTTGTTAAATATACTAACAAAGATTCCTCAAATAGAAGCAAGCTCTAAACTGTACAGTAAGAATGATCATATTTCATATCTTAGAACAAACTTGTAGCAACTTCTACTCCACAATAAACAGACTGCAACCGAAAGAAACCAACCACACCAACTTTTACTCCCTTCGTTCTAAGCTTTATTGGCACTATCTTGCAAGGATTCCAACACTCGTGGACTTCTTCTTGTTCGACTTTGCACTTGGATAGGGCTTGTTCTTTTGACCCAAACTTTTTGCTTGCTGCCACTAACACTTCTGTTCTAGTGGAACTGGCTCTCTTGAGGGCACCGAACCCTCCAAATCAACCTTCGATTTCTCTCTCAGCTTGCTTGTGGCACTTGGGTTTTGCAGGAATCTTACTTTTCTTTCTGAATTGCTAATCTTGTCACTTGTCCTATTTGAACTCTTATTTTGATTGGTTTTGAGTTGCTTTCAGTTTCTCTGTGTAGAGACTAAGGTTGGAGAGAATCCAATGTGATGTATTCTCATTATTAAAGTCTATATATATAGACAAATATACAAGGTTGACGTGAAACAAGGGGGAACATTTGCACCACGTAATGACAGCGAAGACTATTGAAGCAAAAAACCTCTTGTAGGGAAGGACTTTTCATTGAAAGTATGGAGTTTCGCTCCCTCCATGTAATCCAGAAGAAGGCTCCCTCCATCCATATGGTTTTACCTTAGCTTTCATCTAGGATAATTGGGATTGTGTTAAAAGAGGAGCTTGAGGAGGTGTTTAAGGAATTTCATGAGAGAGGTATTCTGGATGGTTCTATATCAGAAACTTTGTCTGTCTTATTACTAAAAAAGATAAGCTGAGGAAAGTGTAAGAGTTCAGAACCATTAGCCTTGTTATGAGTTTTTATAAAATTATTGCCAAGATTCTTGCCAATAGATTACAAGAGGTTATCCCAAGTACGATCTCTGATACTCAAGGGCTTTTATCGTTGGGATTAAAATTTTGGATCAATTGCCAGTGAGGAATATAGAAGTCAGAGGGAGGGCGTCATCTTTTAAGATAGATTTTGAGAAAGCCTACGACCATGTTAACTGGGATTTCCTCAATAAGGTTCTAGGGAAGAAGGGCTTTGGTTATAAGTAGAGGTCTTGGATCTAGGATTGTATATGGTCGGTTAGCCACTCCATTCTTCTCAATAGTAGATGGAGAGGTAGGATTCATGCTTCTAGAGGTCTTAGGCAAGGAGATCTCCTTTTTTATTTCCTTTTGTTATGGATATCTTTAGTAGAGTGATTCCAAGGTGAGTGGAGAAAGGGGTGATTGAGGGTTTTCAGGTGGGTAGAAATAGAGTTTATATCTCGCTTCTTCAATTTGCTAATGATACTATTTGGAAGGACCACTACCCAAAAAATGTTTAATTCTTCCAATGGGCAATGGGTTTCTAGAAGATGTAGGCCTTACCCTAGTTCCAATCATTGAATAGGTAGGCTTTAATTATGGGCAACAGGTTTTTTGGTTGGTTCCGCTTTGCAGCATTTCTGAGGGTTGAGTTATTGTCATTTTCGTGTCTTCTCTTGGTGGAGGGAGGTTTCAGTTTCTTTTCTTCTGACAATCAACTTGTGTTAAATCATTGTTTTGGTTTCCTCCTCAGCAGTTAGTCCTTTTTGAATTGGCAAGCTTTATTGATAATAGTTTTTTAGCATTTGTTCTTGGGCTTCAAATCTCATCTATTTCATGGGTTTTTAGTTTCTATGTTCTGTTTGAACTTTTTTCTTCCTTTTCATATTATCAATGAAAAGTTTGTTTCTTGTTAAAAAAAAAAAGAGATCTTATGGGAAGGTTTGGTCCCTAGCTAGGACTAGAGTTTCTCTTTGGGCTTGATTACTAAAGGTTTTTGTAATTATTTGCTAGGTATTATCTTTTTGGATTGAAATCCTTTTTTGTATAGTTAGCTAGTTTGGCTCCTTTGTTTGAGTTGTCGTTTTGTATTCCCTTTTGTCTTCTTTTATATTTCTCAATGGAAGCTCTATTACTCATAAAATAAAGAATAAAATAAAATAAAAACACTGATGAACTCGCTGGAGTCATGCTTAAACCCAACAGATTTTCTTTGATACCACCTAACTACACTGCTCCCTAAAATCATCCAAACACTCTTAACATAGATTGGGGCATGCATGAATACAGACATATATTCATCCTTGCAAACATGCATGCGTATGTATGTCCATATATTCATACAGCATGATGACATATGTTCCTACTCCATGCATGCATACAGCATAAGAGAATTTATGATTTTATTATATTGCCCGTGATCGATTTATTTATAGAATTTCTATAAGGACAATTTGGTTACTAACCATTATAGGTGTTCTTGGAAACAGCTACCATTTGCAGTGCCTAGGACAAGAACGAGAAAATCCAAGCAATGCAGATGTGTTTATTTGCCCGTATTGCTGTAGCTTAAGGGGTGTATCAATTGATAAAAGTGAAGGTCCGCTGGTATGGCTGTCTCTCTCTCTCTCACTCTCTCTTTATCTAGATTCTCTATATCATCCTTTTTGGAAAACTCATTGTATTTGTCTTGATATTTTCTTATTTCAGAGATTTGCAGCAAATCGTCCTGAACTAGAAATTCTTATTAAGCTCAAATCTGAAGCTGTGAATTTCTGTGTCTGGTAATCAGCTTTTTTGATAACGAGCTTTTTATCTTTATTTTTTGAGGTTTCTGGTTGTGTCCATATGTTATTGACCCATCAAATCACCTCTGGTTGCTCCCCCAATTTATAATTCTATTATTACTATGGGTGTATTCTCAACGAGTTATTTTTTAAGATTATTTTTTCGACTAAAATAAAACTATTTTTATGTTTGTTTCAAATTTATGTATGATTTAGAGAGATTTTTTATTGTTATTTTTCATTTATTTCTTTTACCGATTAACTTTAAAATTTTCATTTAACCATTGCTATATGTAGAAAAACAGTAATAATCATAAATAAGAAATTAACTGACAAACTTCAAAAGAAAATCATGTGAAAGTTTCTGTTTTAGGTCGTGAAAACTGTTTAGTTTTCTATATATTTCTTTTCGAACAAAAACAAACTTTCATTGATAATATGAAAAGGAAAAAAAAGTTCAAGGATACAAGCTCCCAAAGGAAGCAAAANCCAAAATACAAAGAAATAAACGAGATCTGAAGCCAAAGAAATATCAAAAAGCTAAAATGACAGATGCTGAAAAAACTTTCAACAACAAAGCCAAACCAAAATGATTGTCTGTTGAGGAGGAAAAGACTGCCTGTTTAGTTTTCTATATTAAAAAGTTGTTTTTTATTTTTAGACCTAATTTCCAAACGAACCCTTAACCAATGGATAACAAATTAAAAATTGACCGTGTTAAAACTATGGCACAAAATGGTGCAGTGGTGCTTATCTGCTAGCTGATGAAACAAAAACAAACATTAGACCAAATTGTTCTGGCCTTACCACGGTAGGGGTACCAAGTAAGAGTTGGGAGATTGCAACATCAATATTCTCACGAAGCATCATCTCAAACCAAAAATTATCACAAGATTGACCAACAATCACCAACGAAAGGGCAGAGAAGCACTTCTTTCTTTTTGAGTGACATTCCATTAATCGAAAAGATAGTGAAAGGGGGAGATGACAAATTGGAATTCGAAGGAGATTAAAAAAAAGAGCTCCAGTTGGTATGGATAAGAGTTGGGGATTAATCACAAAAGATTATAATTAGAGCTCCAAGTAGCTTCAACCAAATAAACCAAATCCCCAGCCTTTCCCAGAGATCGATTTACCCATTCAGTATCACTTTTATTTCCTTCCAGCTCCAATTTCATAATAGCAACAGAGAAATGTTTAGGTTAAATTGTGTACTTCAAGCATGGTGTCTACTTACCCAGCATTTAAAATTTTTTAGTTACGTTTTGATACTTTAAATTATGCTTTCTTACTTCTGATCCCTATCTTTAAGATCAATAAACAAAATTCTGACATAACACTCAACTTTTGGAAGTTTGGATGAGGTGACTTGGATTTTTCATTGATTTAGTAGCCAGTTGGATGTGTTAGAAATGATTCAGCAGATACAACGAGGAATAAATTTAGGGTTGATAAATTAGGACAAATAGTCTGAGAAATCAATTGGGTAAATAATGGTGTTGGATAGGTTACCAATTATATCTATCCAACAGATTTCCTAAAATATTTACTCTAAGTTATCAGCCTCGATGACAGTTATGTTCATTCATTTGGCTACTAGATTAATGAAATATATGTCATCTAATCTAAATCTAGAAAAGTAAAGTGCTGTGTCTGCCTTTCCTTTCCTCCTTTTTTTTGAAAAAAAAAAACAATATTCATCCCAAAAAGACCAAAGGTAAGTGCAATTTATAATCTAAGAGTATGATTGAAACATTTTTAAGTACTAGGACTAAATAGACATACTCGAAGTACGGGGATAGAAAATGTAATATAACGAAATATTTATCTGCAGGAAGTTGGATTTCTTCCTAAATTGATGCCCAGACTGGATTTGATTGAGAAAATCCATGATGTTGTTGAGAATAAAAGTTAAATTTTACTGCTCCAAAAGTTTTGTTGCATCTCTTCAGGGTAGATTTTGGTAAATGCAACTCACGAATTATTTTGAAAAGAGGTTTATTGAATGTTGAGGTTGTAAAATATTTTCAGTATGGAAGAGGAAGATGTATTGAAACAACTGATCGAGCAGGCTTTAGCATGCAAGTCTCACTTGACAGAAGTCTTGGAGTTCTCGTCACATTGTCTTGATAAAGATTTTAGTATTGCCGGCAAGAGGTTAACTTTAGCTTTAAAGGTTTGGTCTTCTCTTTCCTCCTAAATTATACATACTACTCACTTTTCCTGAAGTTTCAATATAGCATAGAAGAATAATAGTAATAATTCCTGTATATATATTGGTGTAACTTTTAAAAATGATTGTGGCTCAATTTCACAGGCTATGGACGTTGCAGGCATTAATGATCATGAAAGTAAGTGTGGTCTTGAGATGGAACTAGTGAGGAACTCATGGAGATTCAGAGTCAGGGAAGCTCTTGAAGGTTCCGTAAAACCAACTATGCAACAGGTCCTGCTGCTTGTCGAAGAGGTATTTCCAGTTGCCAGGTTTTGTGGAGAATTTTTGTAGTCTAAAATCTGCAGTCAAGTTTGATGCTTTCGAATGGCAATGCTTATGATAAATTTAAGATTGTTAGATGGTGAGAAAATCTTCAAATACATTAGTCCAAAAATGAGTGACTCGATTGAACATGGGACATGGGAACAGTATGTCGAAGGTACTAATTTACGTCAATGCTTGCCACCTGATTTTATGGCTGTATGACATAAGTAATACATAAAGGGCTTGAGAAGTAAGCAATTGGGATTTTACACCACACTTGATCTTTTAGCCAAAACGCCAAGAAAGGCTTAGCAATTGAGATTTTCATACTTCTAATTTTTTTTTTTTTGATATTGTATGGGTTAGCTTGTGCTCACCTCGACAATTTCTTGACTAATCTCACCGACCTGGCCCTACTATATTTACATTTTTATATTGTTAGTGAAGTGTAAAAATCCCTATTGACTTATAATGTTTTTGAGATACTTTTCAATTTAATAATACTATTTTAAAAATACCCTAAACTTACATTAAGGCGGGGAAGAGCTAGTGCTGAGTATTTTTAATGGACTTAGTGAAATGCTGTTAATTTTTTGACATTTCTTGCGGCAGAACTTTAGTTCATGAACCTATGATACACCCATGCATACACTTTACTTACTGACTAATGAAAAGAATCCCAATTCGATTAACCATGATTTTTAGCGTATTTTTCTCATTTTGATAATCTCTTATTTTGTTTTAGATTATTGAAAAAATAGGCCATCCATGCCAACTCTCCTTTATTCTGGCCGAACCGGGCAAGAGATAGTTTTGACGTGCGTGTACTATGTATGTCAAATTTATCTGTTCTACAGATACTGACTTCAATTTATAACAGGGATCGGCTATAAGCATTCCACCTGGGGATTGCTACAGACAGAAACTCTTGGAAGTGAAGACTGTATGCTTGAAGTGGAGAAATCTTGCAAGAAAGGTCTTTGACATGTTGGTATGGTCTGTCCCCCTTCCACTGTCGTCAACTTCCTCATCTTTTGTTTTCTACAGATTTCAGCCGACTCTGGGGCTCTTGAATTGGAGAAAGTTTTTGAATTGATCGTGGAGGGTGAAAATTTACCTGCATACCTCGAGAGGGAGCTCAAGGTATCAGCTATTCATTATGGCAACCGTATTTTCTTCTTCTTCTTCTTCTTTATGTTTTTAAGGAGATAGAAAAGAGAGCCTATAGCCCTTGGTGCTTAGTTCATCAACCTTGTGGGTGCAGTTATTAAGAAGTCGAAGTATGCTTTATTGCATTTGTCGAAAGCCTGACGATCGTAGACCGATGCTTGCTTGTGATATTTGTGAAGAGTGGTATCATTTCGATTGCATCAAGATAGAATCTACTCCAAAGATATACATCTGCCCTGCTTGCAAACCTCAAGTAGATGATAAGATGTTGACTCAGCTATCAACAGAATATGAAAGGTAAGAGTTCTGGCTATGTCAAGCTATTTCCTCGTTTTGATTGCAAGATGTACTTTGATAGTCTTGGTTTTTGTTATACCTCTGTTTTAAGGCCTGGCTCTTTCATTTTAGACTACATTTTAGAGAGTACTAGGGAAATGCCCTAGACTGGCAAATCTGAGCAGTTCAAGCAAATCCGAACCATCTTGATGAGTTCAAGCAAATCCTATCCATTTTTTGGGGAAAATTTCAGTACTCCTCCCACTATGGATTTTTCTTGGACCCCACAGGTTCACATCATTATTAAATAATGCGGTTACTGGATTAGGGGTGCATAATATATTTTGAAAAATCGATCTCACGGACCAAAACTGACATTGGTCGGAGTAGCCAGAAAAGCCATTTTCTGACTAATCGATCAAATGCTAAAAAAAATTAATAAAGAATTAGTAATGCTGCAGATTGCAGAAGCTTTTATTTATTTGTACCTTTTTCTTAAATTATCCTACCCCTACTCTAATATCTACTCCTCTTCCACACCCTTTCTTTTTCTTTCAATCACAATTCTTTTCTTCTCTCTCTCTTTTTCCTGGTGGTTGCTGGCATTATGGCGCTAGATTCTGTTATTGGGCCTTTCTAAGTTTCTATCAATTTCAGTTTCAAGAGTAGCGCTGTTGGCTGGTTCACCAGAGTGCATGGCCCCTCTACTCCGTATGGCAGAAAGGATTTTTGGTCAGAAATGAAAGGTTTGGCTAGTCTCTGTCAAGTCTTATGGTGCCTGGGTTGATTTCAATGGCTTGGATGAGAAATCTAAACAAATGGAGTTACCGAGAGCATGTGTACTCTCTGATTGATTCCATTGACATCAATGATGTTTATCTAAACAGTCGGCAGTTTACTTGGTCAAATCTTAGAGGAGGGGTTCCTTCATCCTCGAAGCAGGACAAATTTCTTGTTCCAAGAGATTGGCTTGAGAATTTTAAAGAAATCTGGGCTGAAAGGTTAGTTAGAAACTTCCGATCACTTTTCAATTGTGCTTAAGATGGATTTCCAGAAATGGGGTACTTCCCCTTTCAGATTTGAAAACATTTGGCTTGAGTCTGATTGAAGAGCGGTGGTCGCATCACTCAGGTGGAAGGTTGGCCAGGCTTCTTGTTTATGTAGAAATTAAAAGGTTTGAGGACCTTTCTTACTAGTGGATCAGAAAATTTTGGCGATGTTATTGGCTTCATAAAAAGGATATTAGAAGGGATTTTGGCTTTAGACAAGCTGGTGGAGGGAGCGACATCCTGAAATTAATGTAGAGAAAGACTCCGCCTTAAGTCTGAGCTTATGGACATGACCATGAAGGAGCAAAAAATCTGAGCACAGAAAAGTGGTGGCTACGTGAAAGGGGATGAAAAACGTGCATTTCTTCCATAGATGGACATCCCACAAAAAATGTAGAAGTATTTTCTCTACGCTTGAGAATCAAGATGACAGCTTTCTTTCTTCCGAAAAGGAGATTGAGAAATAGGTGGTTAGCTTTTCTCTAAGATTTATATCTCAAGGGCCAAAGGTTTTCTTGGAAGAGGTGGATTGGGCTTCTCTGTCATCCTCCTGGAAAGACCAAATTGAAGCCCCCTTCTGAAGAAGCTGAGTTCTACAAGGGAGTATGTGATTTGGGCAAGGGAGTATGTGATTTGGGCAACTTGACATCTTCGGGTTCGGATGGTATGGGTAATGGATCTTTCAAAGAAGGCTTGGAACATTCTAAAGCTGATATAGTAAGGGTGTTCCTAGATTTTCAACAAGCAGACCAATAAAACTTACATTTGTCTTATGTCAAAGGAAAGTTTTAGTCACATTCAAGGTTAACTTTGATCCCATGGAGAGGAAAACCAGATTTTAAGTTAACACCACAACGATAATTACAAAAAAAGTTTAGAAATCAATAATTACAAAAATTTAGAAATCGACTCCCACATCGAAGTATTAAATCTAATAAGTTCCTATACATACTTTCCCTCAAAATTATATTGTTTCTCTCAATCTATATCCCCACAAAATAGCAAAGAAATAAGTCTGCCACAAAAATCTTCCTTTATCACGAAATGGAAGGAACAACAAAACCTCCTCAATTAGAAGCCGAGAGTCCCTATTGCAAACTCAAGCACATCACGCTGCTACAAGAAATCATTCTAGATGTTTTGAGCGAACGAACAACAGTACAAAATATGGTCAAGATCCTCTGAAGCACTTCTGACCTGCCACACAAATTTTCCATGGTGTGTACTCTACAGAAGTGCTTCGGAGGATCTTGAATTTGATCTACGGGTGACTTTAAATGCAATCTAAGGTGTTGAATTTCCATGTAAGACCTACCACAAATCTTTTTTCTTTTTGGAATTTTAACCTTTCAACGCAAGGAAAACAATGAAGCGGTTGGGAGAGAGAGAGAACTCAACAGGTGAAAAAAGAACTACAAAAGCCTCTTGGACGAGCTAGGGGACTAGACTCGAGAATCCTTCCTCCCTCGATAAAAAAAGAACATCCTTAAGCATAAGAAATAAGAAGCAATGCAGAAACCTCCAAAGTCTCCTAGTCCGTCAATTAAGGCTCGAGAAATTAGAAGACGCATTCCCCCTCGACGCCTAAACAGAAGCCATCGAATGCAGTCTTATGTCAGAAAGGTGGTACAGATGTGGGAATAAATGGCAAAGAGGTTTATCAGCGAACTAGTGGTCCCCCAGAAATAGGTATCAGAATCATGCCCAACAAAGAATTTCAAGAACTAGGAGTTGAAAGGGAAGACAAAATAAATAGCCTTCCATGCCCAACAAACCAAGTAAGAGTTTTCTATTTCACGTTTGAATAATCCTTTGAATACAACAAGGGTTGGTTTTTATAGATAACCAACCTAACTAACTAACTAACTAACGGCTAAATGAAAGACACCAATGGCTAACTAAAAGATTTCCTAATCAACGTCTATTTTACAATATCTCCTACATCATATTCCCTCCGTCTCAAAGAAAAACTTGACCACGAGTTTATGTGGCTAATTGAAAAGCATCTGCAGCCTGATATTCATGTAGGTCTGATACATTAAATATGGGATTGATGCGTACATCAGTGGGAAGGTTGATCTTATAAGCATTGTCACCATATTTTTCCAGAACTTCAAAAGGCCCGATCTTTTTGTTGTGTAGTTTGTGATATGTTCCCGTCGGAAATCGGGACTTTCGTTGGTAGACCATCACTAGATCGCCTATTTTGAAATGTTTCTCCCGACGATGGCTATCCGCATTTGCCTTATAGGTTGCTGTAGCGTTCATCAAATTCTCTATTACCTCCTTATGTAGTTCCATTATCCTTTCGGCCATGTGCTCAGCTTCCTGATTAAAATCAACATTAGAAGGGATATTAGCTAAGTCCACAGTAAGGCGGGGAAGTTTAGTATATACTACTTCAAAGGGGGACTTCCCTGTGGAACGATTTTTCATATGGTTGTAGGCAAATTCAGCATGTGCGATTGTAAGGTCCCATTGTTTCGGTTTAGTTCCACCAAGGCATCGTATAAGGTTCCCCAATGTTCGGTTAGTGACCTCGGTTTGGCCGTCGGTTTGTGGGTGGCTGGTCGTGCTAAATTTTAAGCTTGTGTCAAATTTCTTCCACAAAGTTTCCAAAAATAGCTCAAAAATTTCACATCTCTGTCAGATATTATTGTTTTCGGAATGCCATGTAGGCGCACAATCTCACGAAAGAAAAGATTGGCCACATAAATGGCATCCAATGTTTTTTTGCAAGGTAAGAAGTGAGACATTTTGCTAAATCTGTCCACCACAACTAGAACCGAATCGTAACCACGTTGAGTCTTTGGTAATCCAAGGACAAAGTCCATGGACAAGTCTTCCCAAATAGACTGAGGGATTGAGAGTGGGGAGTATAACCTGGTATTTTGTGCTTGACCTTTAGCTTTCTGACAAGTGAGACAACGGGTAACAAAGTTATATACGCCTTTTCTGATTTGAGGCCAGTAAAATCGGGTAGCCACTAGCTCGAATGTCTTGTCTCAACCAAGGTGGCCAGCCAAGCCCCCACTATGCATATCCAGAATTAAAGATTCCCTTAGGCCTTAGGGAAGTATGGGGAATACACAGCCGGTCACCTTTAAACAAGTAACCATCAAGTATATGAAAGTCATTACAATTCACATGTTGATTACACTGCTGCCAAATGGTGTGGAAATCACTGTCATTCTCGTATGCTGTAGGTAAGTGGTCAAAAGCAACTACTTGTCCTGATAGGAGGGTTAGAAGGCTGGCTTTGCGACTTAATGTGTCAGATACTCTATTAGTTGCTCCTGCCTTATGCTTAATGACAAAATCAAACTTTTGTAAGAAGGAAACCCAACTAGCATGCATCCGGTTAATAGTTTTTTGGGTCTGAATGTATTTAAGTGAAAAATGGTCTGTAAAAAGAATGAATTCACGGCCTATAAGGTAATGCTCCCATTGTTTGAGGGCTCTAATTAATGCATATAGTTCCTTGTTCGTAGGTGCACCACTTTTGCCTAGGGGGTGTTAGTTTTTCACTAAAAAATTCCAAAGGGTGGCCTTTTTGAGAAAGAACTGCACCGATACCTATTCCTGAAGCATCTACGGCGACCTCGAATGGTTGGCTGAAGTCTGGTAGGCCGAGGACAGGTTTATGACTAAGTTTATCTTTTAGAGTAGCAAAGCTAGATGCTTGATTTGTATCCCAAAAGAGTTTCCCTTTTTTCAGACATTCAGTTAAGGGTGCTGCTAGAGTACTGAAGTTTTTGATAAATTTTCTATAGAATGAAGCAAGTCCCAAAAAACACTAGATGTCCCTAATAGAAGTAGGTGTAGGCCAATTCTGAATTGCCGAAATTTTGAAATCCAAAACGATCGAAGCGCTGGTTCCCCCGAAGAAAGTCCTCCTCTTCCCCTGAAGAATCTGAATCTTGGATCCTCAGTTTAAGTTCTTGCTGTCATCGGTCCTGTCTGTCGATATTTCTTGCAATAACGGGAGTGGGCGATTGGTTTCTTGGTTGGTATGCACGTTCTTGTTCCTGGCGACCGTCACGATTGCCCAGATCATCTCGTAGCCGCTCTTGCTCAAGTGCTATATTTTCTAGATGTTTGGACAGATTTTCCATAAGCTCGTGGATCGTCTATACACTGGAGCGAACCTCTCCCAAGGAATCTTCCACTAATAGTAAACGATCGGTGGTGGATTTTGGTGACAGAGGTTGGTGTGCCGAGGGATCCGCTGTGGTTCCTTTGCCGGAAGTCGCTGTGTTCTTCCTGGCCATCAGGTCCTAAGTTTCGAAAAAGGGCTCTGATACCAATTTGGTGTAAAACCAAATAAGAGTTTTCTATTTCACTTTTGAATAATCCTTTGAATACAACAAGGGTTGGTTTTTATAGATAACCGACCTAACTAACTAACTAACTAACGGCTAAATGAAAGACACCAACGGCTAACTAAAAGATTTACTAACAAACGGCTATTTTACAATATCTCCTACATCAATTATTAGCACCAATCTTAAGCCCATCGGTTGAGACCCAGTAAAAAAAATGCGACCCATACTTGCTAATTATAATCCTCCACCACAAGGCCCTAGGCTCCTAAAAAAACTGCCACAACCATGGATAATAAAGGCTCATTCTTAAGTTTAAAGTTCCCAACGCTCAAACCCCTCGCCTCAAAAGGCCTAGATGTGATGAAGCTACTACGAAAGCTACGAACTAAGAAATGGAGAGCAAATTAGAGAAATGACGTTAAATCTGTGTCTTGACTCCAAATCGAACTATTTGGGATTCAGAAGTGAGAAATAATTTTAGCTACGAATAGTGGATAAATTGGTGTATTACCAGATCACACACCTATTGCCACAGGTTTAGATATAGATATTTTTAGAATACACCTTACTGTTAATGACGAATGGTTAATGATGGCTTTGATGGGCGATTTTACTAGAATAGGCAATAATGAGGTCACTATTTTAGTAAATGATGCGGAGAAGGCTAGTAACATTGATTCATAAGAAGCTCAGCTAACTCTTGAAATAGCGGAAGCTAACTTGAGGAAAGCCAAGGGCAAGAGACAAATAATTGATGGTCTCCCAATTGGCTAAGAGCACCGCCCCTCAGCCCCCTCACCCACCCTAAACCTTTCATAAAAGTTCGCATTTGGGAATTACTGTGGTTCTTCCAAGCTTCTCTCTTGGGCATCCTTGGTAGGATGTGGAGTGCGTGATTCTCATTTTTTGTAGGGCTTTCTTTAGGTTATAATCCTAAGGGTGTTACCTTTTGGGCTTTGATGCTGGAAATGATTAAAAAACGCGTCTCATTGTGGAAAAAACCTTTTTCTAAAAGAGGGAGACTTACGTTTATTCAAACAGTTTTAAGAGGTATTTACTTATTTTCCGATCCCAATAAGGTGATTCAACAGCTTGAGAAGTTGTTTAGAGATTTCATTTGGAGTGGTGGAAATCTTTCTCTGTCCAGTCACTTGGTTAAATGGAGCTGGTCGTCTCTCCCCACCTATCATGGTGGGTCAGGAATGGGGTCCTAAAGCAAAGGAGTATATCTTTGCTTTTGAAATGATTTTGGAGGTTTTTCCTCGAAGAAAACAAGAAAAAAGTTCATGGAGGAAGGTTATTATAGCCATTTATGGTATTTGTTGAGGATGAATAAACCATCACTTAACCCAAAAGCTTAAGTTGATGAGCTGGGTAAATTTAATTCATATATTTGATATCTAACATTCCTCCTAACTCGTAGGCTTGGATAATTGCACAAGACCCATCAAGTGGAAATCATTATAAATGGTGGGGAAACAACGATGCAGGGGTTCGAATACAGGATACCCCGTTCTGATACCATGTTAAGGATGAATAAACTACCACTCAACCCTAAAACTTAAACTGATGAGTTGGGTTAATATAATTCATATATCAAATATCTAACCGTATTCATACCTACGGCTTGTTCTAAAGGAAGACCGTGGGTGGATATTGACTAAAACAGAGACAAATTCTTGGATTTTATGAGATTCAAAACGAATAATGGCCAGAGAAACAGATTTTGGGAAGGATGCAATGGCTTTGGAGGATCCCCTATCCGCTCTCTTTCCTGAATTTTGTGCCTCATCTGCCAAGAAAGCTGTAGTAATTGCATACTACTGGAACTCTTCCTCTGAGACGTGGGATTTAGGGATTAGAAGAAGACTATTTGATAGAGAGGTTCCAAGGTGGGCTGAATTTACAGAGAGATTAGAGGCTTGTTAAATAGGAAATGACCTAGATAAAATCTGTCAGGCATCTTTTCAACAAAGTTGGCCTTCACTAGCCTTGCGTCTCCGTTAGCAAAACTAAAGACCCCCATGGTGGACTATATTTGGAAGTTCAAAGCTCCAAAGAAAGTTCTTCGTGTGGACTCTCTTGACAAGCTTAAAAGGAAATTCCCCAAGGGGTATCTTTCTCCCTCCATTTGCTGCCTTTGCTGCCTTTGCTTATCTTTATACCATTTGTTTTTCTTCTGCCCTCTTGCTCAGTTTGCACGGTCCTCCCTTTTTGAGGTCTTTGATTTGACGATTTGCTTTCCAGAAAAGGTGGATGTGTGGCTGTTGGAGTGCCTTGGATTATTGTTTAGAGGCAAAGTAAAGGTCTTATGGGGCTGTACTGCGAGGGCTATTTTCTGGCTTATTTGGAAAGAAAGAAATCAAAGGTTTTTATAGATTCTCTATGGAATAGTGTACAAAATACTACCTCTTAGTGGTGTACAAACTAAAAAAAATTCTTTTATAATTACAGCCTCCTTCATCATTAATGATTGGAAGACTTTGATTGTATGGCTCCTTTTGGGCATGTGTTTTCTCTTCTCCCAGCCCCTTAACTGTTTTTTTGGCTCTTGCTAATGCATCTTGTTGTTTCTTATATATGAAAAAAAGGTTCCCTCTTCTCCACATCCCTTCTTGAATTTTCTCAGTTTTTCATGGCGCTTAACCTTCGTCAGTTTTTCTTTGGTTCTTTGCCTCCCTCAGCCATTTCTGACTCTCTGTCTTCGGCCCATCTCACTTTTTTTTTGTTTTTTTGGTTCAAAGTTCTTCAGCCTCTCTCACCTCACTCACTCACTCATTGTGTTGGTTTTGGCTAAAACCGACTTACAATCGGTTGTTTAATTTCTATGGGTCTTAAAAAACCACCAATAATCAACTGACTAGCACTGATGGGTTAGTTTTCGACATTGGTTGAACAACCGATATGTGTCCCTGTTTGCATGGTCGACAATGAATGAAAATTTCTTAGTATTAGAAACTTCCTCATTTTTGTTTTTTTTTGTTCTTTTAACAAGAAATTCAATGATACAAACTCGCAAAAGAGTGAAAGAAAACAATTAAACAATGAAAAATCAAGAATTAAACACCACAACAAAAAGCACCTCAATTAGAACAAATAAGAGAAGAAGAAGAATTCCCAAAAGTAGTAGACAACGAACACCACTGAGAAGCTTTAAATTTAGCTATGCTAAACCGGTCGAGCGAGGATTTGTGCGGCCCCTCGAAGATTCTGAGACTCCTTTCAAACCATAATTTGTAAAGCAATGCCTTAATAACATTAATCCACAGTAGTTGGCCTTGTGGAGACAGTTTCAAACCAAGGAGCAAATGAGAGTGACATTATCCGCAACTGCACCATTGAATGCCCAAGATATATTGAATTCCTTGAATAAATAGAACCAGCACTTCAAGGCACAAGGGGAAACTTCCCCATTTTTTTAACTAATAGTTGGTATTATTGTGGTCTGCAAATAATGTTTGTAAAGTTACACGACCATTTTTTATTGGTTTTACTGTCTCTGCTTTTAAACAGTTCGGTTGGCATGAAACTCGTGGAGCCAAAGACCCCTTCTCCTCAACACGCAAAGCCAAGATCAAAACAGAAGAAAACCGAGCGGAATTTAGTTCGAACCGTGAGGGATTGCTATGGAGAATTCAGGTGCTCAAGTGGAACCGAACACTTAAGGTGGCAAAACCGAAAGCCTTTCAGAAGAGTAACCAGAAGGAGAGCAGAGTTGGGAAGTATTTCTCCATTTTTCACCATTCAACAATAATCAAGAATACATGGAGGTGTAGGTAGTTTAATCAACAATCATTTAATTGATTCAATTGTTCATATCATCAAATACCTTTCAGCTTCAATAATGTAAAAGGCAAAATGTTTTATATGTTGTTTCAGTTTCATTTATTTTCACCTGTTTGTTTTTAGGTCCGGAGGGTACGATATGGGGTATGGTTAGTGAAAACAGTATCAAATAAATGAGTAATAATTTTGTATATATTTGATAACAAGAAGGTTTTTTTATTTTTTTCTATTTTTATTTTTTTTAATGTGGTTCAAATCCAATTTTGGTATCTAAACTTTTACCTGTTTTGTTACTTTTTTGTTTTTGTTCTTTGTATTACAATTCAAACACAGTAGGATTTTGAATCTACTACATTTAAATGTTTTGATTTAATATTCTCAATATTTTAATATTTTATTTTAGTTCATAAACTCGTTAAAAATTATTCATAAACTTGTTAAAAATTATTGTATTCCTTATCGTTAATTTTTCAAGGACCTGGATGTATTTGAGACTAGAGTAGAATGAGAATGGAAGTTCAACACCAAAATGAAATTGTAATGAAACTCAAGGTCATCTTTTTAGTCTTAACAAAAAAACTAATTTGAAAGTATAGAACTGAAAATATATGAATTTATTAGAGACATTTTTTTAGTACAAAATATGTTGGGGAGTAAATTGAAATTTACAATCTGTTAGTTGGAGGTACAAATCAATTATCGTTGAGTAATGCTTGCTTTGGTAATTTATTAGAAGCAATGGAAAGTTTAGAAATTTGTTAACACTTCGTAAAGTTTAACAATCTATTAAGATATTTTTTAAAGTTTTAAGAACTTATTAGAAATAACACACCACCAAATTTATAATTTAATCTAAATTTATCTTTTTTATAATTATAAATGTAAGAATGGAGATTAGACCTCCAATCTAAATATAAAGCCATTGATGCTTGATGGTTGAGGTATACTAAAGTACTCTGGTTGACTTTTATAACCATTTTTTGTAGGTAAAAATTATATATTTTCATAAAACTTGTCAAGTTGTATAATTTTTTTTTATAGAACTTTTAATATATTCAAATTCAACTCTAAACTTAGATGAAAGTTGCAATTTTTATCATTTATTCGATTTTTGTTTATTTACCTACTAATTTTAACAAAAAATAATATAAAAATTAAAAAAATTCACTAATTTAATGAAAATCAAATTCTACACAAAATTGATCATAAAATAACTCTTCTAAAACTTACAAATTTCAATTAAAAATATTTGCTCCAATGTCATTTTTGTTTGAATCCTTTAATTTTATATCAAATATATATTTTATAATTCATTGAATAGATATGAAAATACTTTTTCATTAGATTTTGAGATGAAATTCTATTATAAATGAGAGATGAAGATTGGGATATTTATCAAAATTTAAGGTGCAAAGGTAAACACCCAATTTGTTTGGGGGAAAGAATACCCTGGACACGTGGAGGACAGCCATTGACGTTCCAAGGGACCCATGAGTCATGCCCCAGCTCGGACCGCCGAGATCACCACCACTAGCGTTGACAGATGCTAAGTATGAGGGCCGAGGTGAACCTGGCTAAGGTCCGAGCTACCGGGAAGCTCGGTGGGGGTCGATGTGAGCTACTGTCAGCGGCGTGATTATCGAGTGTAACCGTCGGTCCCGAGATTATCGGGTGTAACCGACGGTCCCGAGATTATCGGGTGTAACCGTCGCGAGATTAGCGGGACTACCACCCAGGAGTAGAGGACCTCACTCCACGATCAGGTACGATGATTTTCCGACCTCGAACTAAACTGGGAATCCGACCTATACTAACTTGATCGTCGGAGTGCTCACCTTTTTTGTACAGGTCCGCCCAAGTATTCAGATCGGTCCGGAGGCCGAGTTCGAGTTGCAATCTGAAATACACGGTTGTGCATATCCTTGCATAAACACAATTGATCTTCTTATTTCTCTGTTTTTTTTAGCTCCTATCTCATATCTTAATACTATAATTGAATTTGAAATTTCTTTAAATTTGATATAATAAAGATGCGTGTATTAACCTAGTTTAGTGATAATTAGCTGAAAAAAAAAATGAAAAGAAATGATGACGTGTCTCAAAAGATCCCACAAATCGCAAAACTGACGCGTCCCAAAAGATCTCATAGATCACGTTCAGTCGTTCATGAAGGTTTTGACTGGAATTTTATCATTTTTTTAGCTCTCAAGTTTCAACCGTATCCCGTTTCGTCTATTTCTCTGCCATTGCGTCGTCGTGAAGATCAATTTTATCCTTCGGTTACTCGTTTGTGGAGAACGAACGATGAGCTCCCACACTTCCGCCGAAGACTGTCTCGGTTGGGCTGCAACAGATTCGTCTGGGTTTCTATCTCCTTACAAATTCAGCCGCAGGTATGTGATCTCTCCATCGCGAAGTAACTGAAATTCCTTTTTGTTATTTTTCCCCGTTTCTCGAGGTAGTATACGTATTTGAGTTATTATTGAATGTGTTCTACCTGTTGTCATACTTCGCTGAGATCTTATATCTGGGAAATAAAATGCGCATAAGTTGTTTATCGTTCCTGGTTGTGTTCTGATATTTAAGTCCAGCTGCACATTTAACTAAACCAACTACGGTTGTGAGATTAAACCAATCAACTACCACTCTAATACTTCCCTGAAGATGGGTGATGAAAATTCCCTACTGCCATCTTGTCGAGAAAGAATCTAGCCTTGTGACCCCGTTCACAGGAGATGGAATTTGGCATGTCATACAAGCTCTGTTGAAGGTTTTTTTATTATTTTTTTTTTAAGAATGCCATTATTAATGCTAGCCTGGATGAGATTTAGGAGTGATCATCGGTCGGTTGGAGTCGATTTTGGACTCCAACTGACACCAACCACTAACAAACCAGTTTTCATTGGTTGGAGTTTGTCGGTGTTTGAAAACCCTACAACTCCAATTGATTGACTACACCTACCATTGGTCGGTTTTGGTCAGTTTAGAGATGAAAAAGTTAGAACAAGAAACGGAAACAATAATAGAGGCGGAGGAAGAGAAATAGGGAAGAAAAAAGAGAGAATGATGGAGGAGAAGATGGAGAGGAAGACGGACCTTGATTAAAAAAAAAGGGAGACAGGGGAGAAGAAAACCAAAGAAGGAAACAAGAGAGAGGGAGAAAGAAAGAAAGAAGAAAGGAAGAGAAGCATCGACGGTCGTCATGGTTTCAAGTTCTTAACTTCTTCTACATCTTTTCATCTTTATAATTTACAAAATAAAGTGAGATGAGGGAAGAAAGAGATATAAACTTAGAAGAACTGAGAAGAAAAGAAAGTAGGAGAGGGGTGAGAGTGAAGAAAATTTTGAAAACATTTGAAATTGAAAAAAAAAAAAATTGGACAAACCAACCTCTACCCTCTCTTGAGAGGGCAGGATAGCACATTTAATGATTTTTTTAAAGGTAAATTGCAAAAACCACCCCTGAAATATGGTAGTTGTTACAATTGAACTCTTAAACTTTACATTATAGCAATTAAGCCTCAAACTTTTATAAATGAAAAAATTAGACCGCTAACTTTTTCAAGGGTAAAAATCAAACCCTACAATTTAAAGAAGAAGAAAAAAAGAAAGAGGTAAGTCATTCTCTTATTCACATCTCTTCTTCTCCAATGTTCAACCACTGCAACCACCAAGCCCAGACGCACCAAGCCCAGGAACTTTCTTCGCCCTCTTCATCTCCCAATCCGTCTGAAAGAAAACATTATTCTCCTCTCTCATAACTCCCTTTTCGTCGCCGGCTTCCCTTTTCTTATTTCAACACCTCACACGATTTTGGGTATCATTCTTAGAAAACTCAATGTTGGAAATTTTTTATCTTTGTCTGGTTTGTTTAAACGGGTCAGAGTTTTACACTTGGAATTCGGTTTTCAATCATATTCAAGCTCTTAGGCACCTTCAAGCAATCCATTGACCCATTTTTTGGGACTAAAATTCTTTTATTATCTCTATTTCCTATATTTTATCAATTAGTTACTTGTTTTAAAATCTAAAACTTTTGAGTCTTTCAATTGATTTTGGATTCTAGCTTTTTTTTAGGCATTTCAAGTTCTGGTTTGTTTGCATTTTATTGTTCGAACTGAATTTTATGATCTTGGACTCTTTGGCTCCCTGAGAAATCGTTTCTGGTGTCATACATTTTGTTCCCGAGCGTTGGAGAGGAAGAGAGATTTGTTTGATTTTGACCATTTCTTTACCTGTGTCCGAAATTTCGACTTAGATTTTTCTCTCACTTTTTTTATTTTTATTTTTATTATTTTTTGAAATAATTTTAGGGTTTAATTTTATCTTTGGTGGAAGTTCAGGGGTTTAATTTTTACTATTGAAAGTTTAGGGGTCTAATTTTTTCATTGATGTAAGTTTGACGGTTTAGATTTTACAATCAAAAGTTTAAGGGTTAAGAGGTAACAACTACCATATTTCAGGGGAGGTTTTTGCAATTTGCCCTTTTTTTAAACAACATTTAATGATATTAATTACTGTTATTGCAATTTTTTTAATATAATTATGTTTAACATATTTGGTCGGTATCGGTCGAAAATAACATATCCGACCAAACCAACCAACAACGAGTCGGTTTCTATTTTTTGAAAACTGACTCCGACCGACGTTGGTTCAATTGGTTTTGGTCGGTTAGATTGGTCTATTGAACCATTTTGCTCACCCGTAATGAATTTATAGGACTGATGGTAACATTTCATGTTTCTCCTTTCATCTTTTTCAATCCAGACAAACAGAACTACATTTGGTAGCTATTTACTGTTTTTTTTTATTGAAAAAAGAAATGAAAACGTGTCCTTTCTTATTTCATCTTCTCTAAAATTGTAAATTAAAAAAATGTTTTATATAAAAAGTAATTTTTAGATTACATATTCGATTGTTTTTATATTTATATTGTTTTAATATTTATTATGCATTTGATAAGGATGAAATAATGTTTTTATTTATGTTTTGAAACCAAAAATAAGAAATTTGATTATGTTGTTTTTAAAGTTTCTACACAATTTTGGAAATATTTTTCTTAAAAATCATAAATGAGAAACATTGAACAGTTACTAACTTGCTTATGTTTCTCGAAGACAGTCATATACTTATTTCAAAAAAGATGGATGCTAGAATGGTGAGAGATTACATACCATACGCCTCACTACTTGCTTGTACAAAATTGTTGCTAGAGGACTATCTGAAAGGTCGAAAGAAGTGCTACCCAGTACCACCATAGAATATCAATAAACTTTTGTGGCTAGAAGTCAAATCCTAAACGCATCCCTTGTAGCAAATGAAATAATTGATAAACGGTTTAGAAAGAAGAAAAATAGAGTGATTATAAAGCTTAACTTGAAAAAGGCTTTAGATAAAGTTGATTGAGACATTATAGAGATGATCTTGAAAAAAGTTTCACCCTTTGTCTCCCTTCCTCTTTATTTTGGTTGCTGATTGTTTGAACGGAATCTCATCTCTTGCAGCACCAAATAACTTCATTAAAGGTTTTCATGTGGGCATAGAAAAGTTGTAGATTAACCACCTCCAATTTGCTGACTGACACCCATTATTTTCCAAGGATAAAGACATTCAAAATTTGTTTTCTTGCATCAATTGCTTTGAATAGGCCTCAGGTCTTAATGTTATCACCAAAATATGAGTTTTTGGCAATAAATTGTTAAGATGACCACATCTTCCATCTCACCAAGTTGATTGGTGCGTAAGGTGAGCACTTGGCCAAGCTCATACTTTGGCCTTCCTCTTCGTCGTAATCAACACTCTCTTTCCTTCTGGCAACCAGTCCTTCTAAAAGTAGAGAAGAGACTACAAAATTGGAACCACTACCATGTATCTAAAGGAGGGTAGGCTTACTTGTATTCGAGCAACCTTGTTAACCGTCCTATTCATTTCTTATCCCTCTTCCAAATGCCTTCCAAAGTTTTTGCCTCCTTGGAGCGTACTTACACAAAGTTTCTTTGGTCGGGCAACAAGGAAAAGGACGGCGTTCATCTGCTTAGGTGGAACTTGGTGAAACTCCCACTGTTCGTAGGTGGTTTGGGTATCATCGATCCAAAATAAAGGAACAATCCCCATTAGCAAAGTTGATTTGGAGGTTTCATATAGAAAAGGAAGCTCTGTAGTGGAAGACTATCGCTACCAAAATGGAACAAAGCATTTCAACCTAAAAACTGATGCTATATCCCTTCATTCAACGAAAGGGCCATGGAAATTCATCCAACAACAGGGGAATCTCATCTTCTCAAATATTCGCTACAAAGTTGGAAATGGCGGCACTACTTTGTTTTGGATAGGTCACCTGATTAGAGAGAGAAAATTAATGGTGGACTTTCCACTACCCCATTCTCTATCTATTAAAAAAAATGCATCAGTTGCTGATTTATGGAACGAGCCAAATAGGTCTTGTACTATGAATTTTCGAAGAAATCTCAAAGAGGATGAAATTGAAGAATGGCCAACTTTATCAGCCCTACTGTCTTCCTTTACTCCGTCAAATAGAGGGGATTTATGGCTATGGAACCTAGAGAAACATGGTTACTTCACAACAAAATCTTTGACTCGAAACCTTCCACCGGGTTCGGTTTCCTCCACTGATGATCTTTATAAATCTATTTGGAAGGCCACGTATCCAAGAAAGGTCAAGTTCCTACTCTGGGAATTAAGTCACTCTTGCTTCATTAAGTTTGACAAACTGCAAAGAAGATGCCCCTGGTGATCTATTTTTCCGTCGTGGTGTTGCTTATGCGAAGCTAGTTTTGAATCATAATTCCATATTTTTGTGGATGTCCCTTCTCTAGCATTTCTTATCCACTTTTGGATGACGGTTTTACCAAACAATACGAGTTATTGGTTGGTGTCAACTTTCCTTCATTAGCCGTTCAAGCGTGAAGAGGCAATCTTGTGGCAGCACCTGAACAAAGCATACATTTGGAGAGAGAAACTCTAGGCATTTTAAGAACAAGGCAAATTCTACTCAACACTTGATTGATTATATTTCTTCTTTGGCTCTAACATGGTTTAAAAATGTCTCTCCTTTTAGCAACTATAGCTTGAATTTTCTTATATACAATTGGAGAAGTTTTTTATAACTTATTTGATAGATTTTGACCATTTTGTATAATTTCATATCATCAATGGAATTGTTTCCTATGAAAAAAAAAATCTTGTTGAGTATCACAAAATTCGTTTGGAGATTGTAGGAAATCAAAGTCACCAATAGAAGCCCTCCTCACTTTTGTGTTTTTAGTGAAATCTACTTGACTATTAAATAAGCTTTCCTTACAAGTTCCACGTCCACCCCACAGAAAAGATGGAAGTTGACCCAAAGATTTGGCCCTATAGGAAAGTATTGACAAATAATTAAAAGAAACAGGTGGATCTGATTAGCCCTTCGATTTCATGCCTGTTTGATGCATAAGCTCTTGTCCTCTAGAGTCACAGTAGGTAGTTGTGCGGCTCGTGCCTATGGATAAACTTTTTTATGGCATTTTCTCTCTACTCTATTCACACCAACTTTTAGTTCTTGTTTTTTAATCTTTGGAGAAGCCAAGCAACTACATCTTACTACATGATTTTATCCAGCCCACGTACCCAAGGCATGTTTATTGCGAGCCTCAATGTGAACCCATGAACATGGGCAACGAACAAAATATCTCGGCAAGAAGTGGCTTTGACATAAAGCAACATATGGTGAGTACTCAATAGCAACCATCAACTGATTAAAGTGAGGTAAAATGTGACTTGTAACTTTGTAGCACCATATACGACTCAATGCTCTTGAGTTTATTGTCCAAGTGGCTAATGGAGCAAATGAAGGACTCTAACGTCCATTTAGACACATATATGCTGTGCATGGGTTGGCACATCCAGCTGCACAAACGTCATTCTTTGTATGCGTAAACCCACGAGAAAGTTCATTTAACATAATTTGGTAGGGATTGAAAAATGACTCCAGTCCTCCATGGGTGCATCTACACGAGCTGGACAATTTATACTCAGTTCCTATAAGAGTTTTCAGCGTTCTGAAGTAGGCATCCATGGCATCGACTAAATTTCCAATATATTTCTCTTTATCAATGCTCATCTGACTTGGAAGATGTGAGGACGATGTCACTCTTGAAACCTCTCTTTAAAATCAAGCAAATGTCGTGTGTTTATTCAGAGTAGATAATACTTCCTGAGATCTCCTCGGAGACTGATGTTAAGATGCAAGCAATGAGTCAATGGCCACATTGTTATTTCACTGCATAATGTATATTTTTCAAGCCACGTGATTTTTCATCTGTGAAGCGAACTTTGTTCATCACTGAAAATGCTGTTGTCATTGACCTACTTCAAAAGGTGTAAATTTCTTCGTTGAGAAAAAAGCACCAGACGAGGGTCATGATATTATTTAGGAAGTAAGGATTAGAATGGTCATTGTTGCTCTGCTGAATAGCTTACTGATGAAGAGGACGATGTTCCCTCCAACTGAACTTTACTGGTTTCCATGACCAAGCATTTCTCGTAGTGTTCCGATATCATATTAAGAATTGATACTGAGAAATGAAATGCAAATGGGCTTATATCATTCATTTTCTCTGACATTTAAATATTTAAACTATTATCAGTAACCTAAAGCCAGCCTACTGATTAACCTCTTGAGTAAACTAAGTCCAACTGAACGATTAACTAAACTAACGAAATTATGCATACAAAAGGATAACCAAATTAATTCTTTACATGCTACAAAGTGGTTTCGTTTTCAGTGTAGTTTTTTGTCCATAACTACTGTTTAAAGTACTTTAACTCCAATAGGGTCAGATCCAGTAATCGAATGATCTAGTTGATTTGTTGTTATGCGATGTAATTAATCCAGCATTTTTATCAATGATTTAAAACGCTTGCAGCCATGATGCTGATTTAAAAATTCTTGACTTTGACTCCCATCCATGTACCACCTTTTTACATTGGCCTATGTGGTTTCATGACTTAAAAATACCTGATGAAAATTTCTTATTGACATTTCAGATATATCTTGTTAGCGCCTTAACCAGACTTTCACTTTGTCAGGGTTCTTGGAGATTATGATGTCTCAATTACAATAACGCATTGCGGAATTTGTTATGCAGATGTAATATGGACAAGAAATAAACATGCAGATTCAAAGTATCCTTTGGTGCCTGGGTACGTTAATCTTTCTTATGATGTGACAAGCCTTCATCTTTTTAAAACTTTTGAGGTGTTTTTCATTAATTGTGCAACAGGCATGAGATTGCAGGAATTGTGAAAAATGTTGGCTCAAGTGTTCACCGATTCAAAGTTGGAGATCATGTTGGGGTAGGAACCTACGTGAATTCTTGCAGACAATGTGAGTATTGCGAAGATGGTCAAGAAGTTAGTTGCACAAGTGGATCCATTTATACTTTTAATGCAATTGACGTTGATGGTACAATTACAAAGGGAGGATATTCCAACTACATAGTTGTCCATGAGAGGCAAGTTCTAATTCCAATCCTCTGTTATTATTCTGATAGCAGTTATATACCATTTCTAAACATGTAATGGGAAATTGTTAAAACATGGCTGATCCTTATATGACTTGAGTATTGACTTATTTGGGATGTTTCTTTTTCCTCTTTCCCTCGAAATTGGTCAGTAAGTTTTCTCAATTATTTTCAGTCAAATTTTCTCTCTGGAGTGGACTACCTCATAGCCCTAAAAGAAACTTTTTCAATAATTATATGGTTGTTTTTCGATAGCTAGCCTGTTACCTGCTGTGGTTAGTGATGCACGATTAATTTAATAATTTTTTGATATACCTGTTAACAACATTTTCTATGAGGTATAAGAAAATATTAATTAAATGACCAACATTTCATCACATTTACGCTTTTATGCAGTAAGTAAAACTCTTCAGTGCAGCTAGCCTGCTACCAATTTCTTTGTTTAAGTTTTACACATTTAATCCTTTTTAGGGAAAAAGTTAATTATTATTATTATTCTTTTGCCTTTGTACTTAGGAAGTACAAACTTCCATTGATGACCCAATATATAAAAGAACAAACTATGAACTCACACTATCATTCAAATTATAAGTCGAAGTAGACAGTACCTATTTATCTAGGATGATAATACTTTGCCAATCAGGACCTGTAATCTTTTTGTAACTCTCCCCAAAATAACAATAACAACAACAATAATGATAAATGTAAAAAAATGAATGAATTTGGAAGTAGTTGATAAACACGTGCAGGGTAATTTATTCCATTTCTTTTAGTTGTATTCAAGTCTAACCTTCATTAGTTGAAGCTGAATGTACATATACTGCGTTGTATATTACAACATAGCTACTTATCATACGATCCTTCAGCGTAAGGCAAGTTTGTGCATTGGTCTACAGATACTGCTATAGAATACCCGACAATTATCCATTAGCTTCAGCTGCTCCTTTGCTTTGTGCTGGAATTACTGTTTATGCTCCGATGATTCGGCATAAGATGAATCAACCTGGTAAATCTCTTGGTGTGATTGGACTTGGCGGTCTCGGCCACATGGCAGTGAAGTTTGGGAAGGCTTTTGGACTGAATGTGACGGTTTTTAGCACTAGCATATCCAAGAAAGAACATGCCCTGCGTCTTCTTAAAGCAGACAAATTCGTTATCTCATCCGACAAAGAGCAAATGGAGGTATATGGAATAAGTTTTCTCCCGTGCATTTCATTTTATTTCATGTATCAGACTTGTCTTCTTATCTGCCAATTTTGTTCCAATTGAATCCCATATTATTCTCAACAGGCCTTGTCTAAGTCCCTCGACTTTATTATCGATACTGCCTCTGGTGATCACCCATTTGATCCATACATGTCTACGTTGAAGATTGGTGGCGTTATGGTTTTGGTCGGGTTTCCTTCTGAAGTCAAGTTCAGTCCTGCAAGCCTGAATTTGGGTATGTTTGAGGCAACTAGGCTTTTGCGAAATATAATATGCGTTTATATTCTTCCTCATTTCAAAGTATATGAGATTGGCAGCTTAATGAATTGAATGGGTCGACTTTCTGGCAGGTTTGAGAACCATTTCTGGTAGCATAACTGGTGGCACTAAAGTGACCCAAGAAATGATAGATTTCTGTGCTGCTAACGGTATCTATCCCAACATAGAAGTGATTCCAATTCAGTACTCAAATGAAGCTATCGAAAGGGTAATAAAGAATGATGTCCAGTATCGATTTGTAATTGATATCCAAGGCTCCCTGAAATGAAGTTGAGAGAGACAAAACGGGTAATAAACTACTTGTCATAGATGAAAGCGAAACACCTGCATGTTATTTGTATATTTTGCATTTGGATATCAATTAACGATTCCTGTTCTCGTTTCTGTTACAAAATCCTTGACTGGGTTATCATTTACAGATGTATTCTGCATTTCAGTGTCAACAAATCCTTGCCTGCGGCTGCGGTTGCGGTTCAAATAAAGACTCGGAATGATAAAGAATGCTCCTACCAGCCCTGAAAAGACAACAATTTCGGAAAACAGGGTTAGCACCTTGGCTTCAAATTCAATTAAATGCAAAAAATAATGTTGTACCTGCCTGAACGAAGCCAATATGAGAAAACAAATGCAGAGAATATGGCCACAAATATTAGGTGTAGGGGACTGAACATTGAAGTAAAAACTGGCCCGTTGCGGCTGATGCACCAAGTGTGTAGTAACCGTGGTATTAAATATCTATTGACATGTCTGTGTATCCATGGATTTGACAACTTATTGACATTTTTATAATATTACAAAAAAATCGATAAAATATAAAAATTATTGATAAAGTTTACTAATATAGACATAATATTAATATTAATTATATTTAATTTATTTAGAAATGGTGAAACGATTTTTTGTTAATTTAATTTTTTTTAGTTTTTTAATTTTTATCTTTTCTAGAAATACCCATTKACATTGACATTTTATCAATATTTTCAACAACATTGATATTTAAAAACTTGGTAGGAACTGCCCCACCACTAAGAATTATATATATTTTATCTCTTATGCTGTAAAATGTTTTGAAGATTATGTCTATTTAAACTTTACACTTTAAAATTCTTTTAATAGTATCTAAATTTTTTATAATTTAAATGACTAAATAAGTTATTGATGAATAAATTTGGTTGGATAGAATTACCAAATTTGTATCAATCTTCTAGAATAGGAGACATTTAATGAAACTTGAAAAACATAAGGATTACCCACCTCGATGCTTAAGTTAGTATTGAGTCATGTGAAGTGTAGTAGGAAATAGAATTTTGTAACGTACTTCAATTATCTATGTCTTCTCTCTATTCATGGGGGAGAACCTAAAGTCACAGGGATATTTCTTCTTTCAATCTCTTGAGATTGATTTATGAGACAACTATTGATGATACAGTGCCAGTGTTTTTCATCATCATTTTCGTCCTACTTTTCATATATTATGTCAAGGCGACATTTAAATAGATGATAATACAAATACATAAGAAGTAATCGTCATATTTGTCGTAGATATTAGTCACTTCTAAAATAACACCAATATAAGGTATATAGCTCTAGAAGTAGGAGAGAGAATGTGGCAAAATGAACAATTACACAAATACATGATATATAGTTAGAAGTAGAATAGAGTGAACAAATTGACAATAACACAAATTCATGGTATATGGTTGAAAGTAGGAAAGAGAAATAATGTGGCAAACAACTCTAGGGTGTATAGTTGGAATACATGGCATGTAGCTGGAAGTAGAAGAGAGAAATAGTCACGAGCCGAGACATGAAGTAGCTTGCTTGAATGTGGTTAAGCTTGATGGTTAAATTAAAAGTTTCTTAATGTTGGGATAAAAATCATATATGGGAGGTAGCAAAATTTGTTGGTTTTCCTTTATTTGTAATTTGGTTGTTGATTTATTAAAAGTAATTTTTGTTTTTCCTTTACTTGTAATTTGGTTGTTGATTTATTAAAAGTATATGAACATGAATAGCTTAGTAATTTTCACATGAGTCCGAACCTCTATTTTGACAAATTTGTAAATTATTAAGATCTAAATCATCTATGTAATTAAGTTCTTTAAAGACCTATTAGACACTACTTAAAATTTAGAAATCTGACCTGAAATTTAGGGATAAAACTTTTAATTTAACCAAAAATTAACTAGACTCAAACTCAAACAATAAATATCAAATACATAAATTTAAAAAGAAATTTTCAATACAAAAAGAACGGCCTTATCTTTTTAAAGGAAAAATAAACAAATATATATATATATATTTCGCCCACTTGAGTATAGTTGAATTAGTTAAGCATATTTCTAGCGTTCAATTGCTTAAGCATATATTCCCAACTAGAAGCATATATTCCCAACTAGAAGATCTACGTTAATGTGGCAAAAACCAAAATAATTACTTTTTGAAATTTGGTGAACTAAAATAAATATTTTCAAAATTTAAAGGTCAAAATAAATATTTAAACCCTTTTTATTAAACTGTTATCAAATGATTATATTTCTCAAAAACTAGAAACGGTAAATTTAAACTATTACCAAATGATTATGTTTCTCCAGAACTAGGAACGAGAAACGGAAAATAAAAATGAGAACACTGCCATAAGTTTATATTGAGAAAAACCATTGAGCATCACAAATGAATGTCCTTTTAAACATCACTGTATTGAATTAGAAACCAAATGTGAAGGCCAATACGGACTCCTAACTATATAACTCAACAAAGAACTTACTTAGTACTTCATTACTTGAACATATATTTCTTTACAGACCCATTTAAAATTGTCCAACACAAAATCTCTTTCTAAACTACAAAGCAGGAAACAGCAACCAACTTGAACTTGGCATTGCATACGCTTCCCCCCCTCTTTTAAACAACTCAACAAACAACACTCATTCATTCTCACTCTTCAACTTCCTCACAGTCTTCCATCTTATACTTGCTGAAGTGTTCGACCCTGAACTTCCACTCCCCCTTCACTGGATCGTGTGATACGAACTCCGCGCCTTGAGCCTCCGTCTTCTTCCTTAGCAACTCCTTGTATTTCTCAGCTTTTGGCCCTTCCGTATACTGATGCCCGGTTTTCTTGTCGAAGCATTTGATGTTGAGTATTGTTACTTCAGCAGGCTTATTCAGACCTTGCCCACGAGGGGGCTTCTTACTATCGTCGAGGTACACAGTCACCTCACGGTTGTTAAACTGGACAATGGACTCTAGATCAAGTCGTCGCACATCTGTTTCGCCAAAGAATTTGATGCTTCCATAACCATGGCGGCCCACCACAAAATCCTTAACATGACGGCAAAACCCAGGTTCAGCCCGTTCTTTGGCTGCCAATTCTTGAATTTTTGGCTCGGTATAATAGTCTGCATGTCGGAGCTTCGGCATTAATGCCTCGATATCTGCCCCGTGTTCATAAACGATGGCGGCTTCGCCAGCTCTGTGCCCCCCAAATGTCCTATACAAGTCCTCCTTTGGAGCAGAATGATCCTCATGGACCCCGTTGGGTTTTTGGTTTACTTTGTTAGGATGGACGCTGTCCTTGCTAGTACTACCGTTCTCAACAGCATTTCCTGCAATAAAAAGAGTCGACATAAATTATTTAACATGAAAAGTGCAGCTTCTACAACTATGATGCACTCTTCTATAAACAAAGCAAACGATACCAATTCCAATCGCCTCGCCGACCACTTTATTCAGGGAAAAAAAAAGAGCCAAAATTAAGAACAAAACCCAGTTGTTCATAACACTATCTATATAATGGAACTTTCTTCTTTATGTAGAAAAGAAGATCCACCATAGACATTAGAGCGCCGCGATTTAATTAATAAATTCCACCACAAAATACTTCATAAGAACAATAAGCTAGAGAAATGCAACCAGAAGTTCTAAACAGCTTGTCCGTTGAGGTGTGTAGACAGGCAAAATTATACAGACAAACTGAAAATATACCAAAATTCAAAGGGAAAAAACTAACCATCGGTATTCTTCAAATTGTTGACAGGCAAGGAGGAATTGTCCTCAGGAATCTTCCCTGATAAAATTAAGATTTGCTAGTCAGCAACAATGTATTAATTAAGCTTAAAACTCATCCAACCTCACAGGGCCAGGCAAAACTTGATCTTGGTAAAAGGGAAAGAAATTATACCATCATGCTAGGCAACAGCTCATAACATTGCATTAAAAAGTAAAATACGATTCAGAATTTTTTAAAAAAAATCGGATGCAGAAAACTATAAGCCATAAGGGCGCCTTTAGGGCTTTTAGTATGCAATAATAAAGAGAAGGAAATGGGTTGCGAAAATCCATGTTAGTATAGGATAATGACTTCCTAAACCTACCAAACACAAACAAAGAAATTAATTGCATGATTTAATGTCTATAACTTCAATTATTCATTTTTAATTAGAAATAACTAATACAAATAGTATCAAGTAAGTTAAAGTTACTGAAAAAATATTATAAATTAAGTTTATAATAACTTTATACTATTAGTAAATAATAATCTAAATCACATTTTACAGATTTCATTGCTCTGCATTATGCAACCTAGCTCTCAGTGAATCAGAGCACTATTCATAAAATAAAATTAAATACAAAAACAAAAAAAAAGGTAAAAAGAACAAAAAATTCAAAACCATATATGTTAATGAGATGGACAAGCCGACCCTAAGACCATTACTTGGTCATAGTAAAAAATAAATAAGAACATCACAGTGCAAGCTGGCATCTAAAAAGTAAAACACAATGCAGAGCACAAATATTCCAGAAGCAGAAAAGCAACATTCACCTAAAAGTATAAAACACGAACAGCAGAAGGCAGAAAGCAACAAAGTTATACCATTTTCACGCACTGCGGTGTCCTTCAATGGTGATGCTTTCTCTAAACTGGCCCTTGAAGGCCACTGATCTGTGGGACGAATAACCAATGCTCTAGGGTTCTCTCTGGGAATAAAAAGAGCATCAGCCTTTGGGGTGCTTGGTGTTTCTTCATCTTCACTGAAAAATGGAACCTATACATGACAAATAGCTATAAGTAGTCTGTATATACAAATTTCAAGTGAAGCACCATCTTAATAACCACCCAAACCCAATAGGAATGTGTGGGAGGGGAAAAGAAAAAGATAATAGCTATAGAAGAAACGTTCATACCCTAGGGCGGCCATCATTCTTAGGATTATATTTTCTTGTAGGCAATCTCATCCGTCTGTGAGATAGGTGGCGAGGCGTCAAGAAGGATGATATTCTGACAGGAGCAGCTTTATCAACAACCTACATTGGCAATATCAATTAATATAGAGAATCTAAAAATAGCACGGAACTATATTCTTCCTGCAGATTTTAATGATACAGCCACCATATCAAAAATCATTGATCTAAACCCACTGAAAGTTAAGTAAATAAAAGCACAGTTAAAACAAGTCCAAATTACCGGCATGCTTGAAATTCCATATTGAATTGAAGGTGCTGCTCCTGGCTTACTAATTGACATCTGTGGCATTGCAGGGAGTGTCCCAAATGGATTTGTGGCAGTTGCTGGTTGTACTACGGGGCTTTGGGTGATAGGCCTGCAAAGTACATGCGTGCAAATTACCAATACGATACATGGCAATGAATATATAGGGAAAAGTGATTCAGTGTTTTATATCTACATAGTCCTCAAGTTTTACTAAGACAAGTCAATATCTGACAGATAAAACCACCATGCTAATCAGCCGCAAGAACCAGAAAAAGAAAATGATATGCAAAAGGAAAACTGAAACACATTTCCATCCAACAAAAATAGAAAAGAAACATGAGCAATGCTCGGGAACAACATCATCACGCACTAATATAAACTCCAAAACCTAAATCCACAATCTCAGAGTTAGTTAATTAACAAGTACAAAGCATTAAATCTTATGCAGTGAAAAATGGTTACACTGAAGTGAATTTTCAATGATTGATATTTGATGCAAAAAAATTAAGATAAAATTGAAGGGTCATTTGGTAAGAACTAAAAAAAGTTTATATTTAGAAAAATATATAATATGATCGAACTTCTTGTGGCAATGCTCTGTAGGAAAGTCTGGATACAAACCAAATTATAAAAGTATGAATAGAGATAAAAGGATGACCATAAAAATCTTGATAATAAGAAACTCTAAGCCCATAACCTGCCAAGAACTCCATAGGCCTCTTAGAACTCCTATTCTTCTCAAATGTTCCATTAGACAATAAAGAAAGCCACAAGCCAAGAGTGACCCCTTATCTTGCGGACAGGAGAGTGAAGAAAATTTCTTGCAGTGTGTTGCTTATTTAGGCTGATTTTTTTGTAGCTCAATGATCTTTTATCTGATATACATGAATGGTATAGGTTGTTGGTACCATCCTATTTCAAGTCATCTTAACACTTTTTTCCTCATTGGGTTTTCAACATACCTTTGATGACTGTTATCTTATCTTCAACAATACAGACAGATTTTTATTATTTAATCTTCTCTAATATTTGTTATATTCTATTTCACCCAGTATATGAGCTTGTGTTATTTTTCTCTGGAAATTTGTTTCCAGACCAAAGACCAGATAACCCTAAGATTTTAGTCTTTACAATAATTTCAGTAATTGCTGCCTTAAAAAAATCGACAAATACCAACTTTATCAAATATGAAAACAAATGAAATCATATATGAAAGAAAAACTCAACAATATGCAAATAAGAGCCAATAAGAAGGGAACACACGACTTACGATTGTCCAAAGTTACTCTGACCAAAAATACTCGAAGTTCCTGCAAAACCACTTGAACCAACTACGGGGTAAAAGTAATCAAGTTAGTAAAGTAATAAAAGGTTTGAACGCTCCATAAAACAATCGCTCAATTTTTAAGAAATGAACTCACTTGGTTGAGTCTGACTCAGGTTGCTAAAAAAGGAAGTGGGAGCCTGTGCTTGTGCCGGTTGAAAAGGCATAGAAAAAGAGGCCTGCAGAATACATTGAGGCAGCAAGATTACAAGCCTATTAATATACAAACTACAAATAACTGTCTACAACTTTCAAATTACTGGTGTTACATTAAATTGAGATATGAACTACAAAAAACATTTAATAAATAATCATTACTTAATTCACTGGTCTAGAAGAAAAATAAAAAAATCAATTTCAAATCAGAGCCCAACTAATGAAGTTCGTAAAGAAGAGTACATTGTGAAATAGGAAATTATTTACTTAACACCTCTTGCACCTATCCAAAGTATAATCAAGCGTACCAAACATAGAGTTCCATTATCATACACTTATATGTTACTCTATAGACCTTTGTTTCCCTCTCTTCACACACGAGTAATAAGGTGACATACAATTATGCATATGAGTAATGTGGTCTATTAGTCAATACACAATTGTCTGTCTCACCTCAAGAAATGTACAAAGTAATATGGTAACATCAAAAGGATACTTACAGATGATTGACCAAAACCCATTGGATTACTCGAAGTTAGAAGTGGCGAGCTTGAGAAAAGGTTCCCTCCAACCCCAGACGAAGGTTGATTAAACAAGCTGGATTGTGTAAATGGAGCGCCAAAGGCTGAACCTGTCTGCCCAATTGAAGGTGTTGTGGATTGGAAAAGGGAAGATGATTGGGTGTTACTAAAATTTAAGCTGGAAGGAAAGGTAAGATTTGTCCCTGGAGATGCAGTTGAACTAAAAGCAAGTTGTGAGCCAAGGGCTTGAGTGTTAGATGAATTGAATAAGGATGAGCTTCCAAATTGAGAGGATGTTGTCGGCAGAAAAGATGATGTCGAGGCTGATGTTGTTGATGGAAATAGGTTTGATGAAGATGAAGTAGCAAATGCTGAAGAATTAAATGAAAACGTTGTTGAAGGCCCAAAAGTACCAAAACCAGAAGGCTTAGGGGCAAATGGATTGGATGATGTAGCAGTAGAAAAAGGATTTGAACTTGGTTGACTAAATGTTGAAGTAGCTAGAAGGTTTGGCTGTGCATTAGAAACACCAAAGCCAACACCACCAGTAGACTGACCAGCAGGAAGAGGTCCACCTGCAGAACAAACGCATAAATTTAGTAATGTCCATGCCAGGGACTAAACTTTTGTACATTTTTTCAAGGAAAAAAAAACGTACCTTTGTCTCCCAATTGATAATCCTCCCATCTCAACTCTTCATGACTCTTATCTTTGTAAACAGGCATGGCTGATATAGACTCCAACTTCCCAGCTGCTTGTGTACTACCACTTCCAGGATCTGGCTCAGTTGTTGGTGCATAAGCAGCTGCTCTACTACCACCACGCTGACCACCAAAACCAGCCTGCCCAAAACCACTGGTCCCAAATGCAGATGTAGACTGTGCTCCTGTAATGAATTTAAAATAACATGTGTTCATTACTCAATGAAGCAAAAAATCCTGCAACTCCAAAAGGAATTTTAACAGTATAACTAGTAAGATATTTCAGAATGGCTCACCAAAAGGGGAACTCTGGGCTCCAAAAGGAGATGTATTAGAACCAAAATTGCTGCTACCAAATGCAGAAGTTGACTGGCCAAAAGCTGAAGTGGACCCAAAGCTGAAGGATGGAGTGCTAGAAGCTCCAAAAGCAGGAGCACTTGAAGCCCCAAAAGCAGGAGTACTTGAAACTCCAAAAGCAGGAGTACTTGAGGCACCAAATCCACCTCCAGATCCAAAAACAGGGGTGCTTAATGAGCCAAATGCATTCCCAGTACTACCAAATGCAGGAGTGCTTGTTGAACCGAAGGCAGGAGTGCTGCTAGCCCCAAAGGCAGGGGTGCTTGTGGCGCCAAAGGCAGGGGTGCTTGTGGCGCCAAATGCTGGGGTGCTCGTGGCGCCAAATGCTGGGGTGCTCGTGGCGCCAAATGCTGGGGTGCTTGTGGCGCCAAATGCTGGGGTGCTCGTGGCGCCAAAGGCTGGAGCACTAGTAGCACCAAATGCGGACTGGCTAGGCGCACCAAAAGGTGATGAGGAACCAAAGACATTGCTTCCAAATGCTGGCTGAGATTGCTGGTTTGCACTTCCAAATGGGTTTGTTTGAGTAGTAGTAGATCCAAAGCCTCCAAATAGAGGCTTCTGCCCAAAAATGGACGAACCTGCTGGAAAAGAGTGCATCAGAGTTAAATCCACAGCATGAAATAAGTGATAAAAATATTTTTCAAATTTGCCTAGTTGCAATCTGTGTTCTGAATTGAACGTCGTTTACTAAAAGTAGTGGTAGTGAGGACATATACAGTAGCTTAGTCAAAAGAAACATGCAAAATATATATATATATATTAAAGAATCATCCCTTATTAAAAGAGACATATAATCTCAGAAAAAATAACAATAGAAAAGTTAATCCTTCACCTAAGGAAGATAATAAATACAGCCATATAAGCAGAATAAAAAGTAACCATTACAATTAACGCATTTCATAATCCCACAAGGAAAAATTCAAAATCCATCACTACTCAAGTTACTAGACTTGTCCCTTCGGGGAAATTCGACAAGTTACTTGACTTTACTATTATTTTTTCGATTTTCACTTTATTCTAAATTTTCTAAACCATTCAGTTGGTCCTTCATGGATGAATAGGTCTACACATTAACAGAAATTTGTTAATATAATCACATCACCCTCTAACGAAGGTTCACAACAAAAATTATGAACCCAAAATAAAATATCTATTTAAGAACTGATAGTTTGAGAGCACAAAGGAAAATTTCTCATAGTTAAAGAACCAGATAAAATACATGCACAATCTACCACATATTTTTTGTACTCCATAATAAAAGACACTAGCATTGTTGAAAGCCTGAAACCCTTATAAACACAGTAATCTTTCACTAGGGAAAATAATTGATTATCAGAGGAGAACAGATAATAATTTATATACATACCTCCAAATGATGAAGATGATGAACTACCAAAAGCAGGAGTTGATGATGATCCAAAAGTGGACGGTGTAGCACCAAAAGCTGGCGATGATGAACCGCCAAATGTTGTGGAAGAAAAGGGGGAAGAGGATTGGGCTGCCCCAAACACACCAGTTGATGTACCACCGAACACTGTATTTCCTGTCTGTGAGCCAAAAGGGGAAGTACTTCCAAATGGCTTGGGAGCAAAAGGATTATTACTTGCATTGGCAGTTTGCCCGAAGACTGGTTGGGATGCAAAAGGGCTAGAAGACGGTTGCCCAAAAGCTGTTTATGAAACCAAGGCCAGTTATTTACAAAACAAACCGACTTAGTATAAGATAAGAACTTAGAAGTTCGATCAGTAAAAAGGCTAAACAAAACTCAATGATAAAAGAAGTTGAAGTCAGGATAGACGAAGCTTAATCAGAAGATACTTTCAGAGTGTTAAGAAAAAATTCACAAGTTAAGCCATGACTCATGTGTACATATACGAGGTGCAGTTTTAAATACATTAGCAACCTGGAAAAGAAATAGGAAGGCCATGATAATCAAGCTGTACTGTACACATATACAAACACATATAAAACCAACAAATGACAAGTCAACAAAACAAAATAACATAATAGTATAAGACTACAATATACACATCATTCTTCTAGGAGAAGGTAATTTAATTATGAAACAAAACATAAAGTTTCATCACTTGTTAAACTTTAAGGAATTGCGGAGATGAGAGATTAAACTTTAGACTAATTTTACTGAAAATCCCCCAAGTCCTACTTGGTTGCTTTCCTTCGGATCTTTTTCCAACAAAGAAAAAACCATTCGACCCAGCAGCTTTGCAAACATAGTAGAATTAGAATAAAAAAACTAAAAACAAAATATAAAAGAAAAGATATACTTACGGTTGGGAGAACCGAACATCCTTCTTTATCAATCCCCAGCCGCAACTGAGTAGGTTAGCTACTGATCTCGAACCGGCATAGAAAAAGAACCCAAATCAATCATGGAGAACACAACAGAAAACAAAACCCTACAACTCACAAAACGTATAAGCAAAACGGAGAAAGAAAGACGGTATCCAATTAAAAAAACAGAAGAAAATAAAAATGCTACAGCAAACAAGTAGTTAAACAAAATCATGTGATGAGCACCCCCAAGAACAATCACGCTGCTGCAATAAACAACGGAACGTTGCATCCCCTAACTTCAAAAGAATCTCCGATTCCGAATCGAACCCAACATCCACAGTAGCACTCAAACCACGAATTAAATCAACAAAAACACAAGACATCGAGATTAAAAACAAAGCAATGGCAGAATCAAATCCAGTCGTCGCTCCAGGAATAAGAAAACCCTAGCCTCAAACCGTTCGACCAAGAGCCAAGAGACTCGGCAACCTTCCGCCGAAGAAACGACAAAAAATCCATCTACCCGTGGAGGAAAAGACAGGAAAACAATGGAGAAGAAATGCAGGAAGATAGGATCTGCTAGTGGGAAGAGAAAAACGTACCGATGATCAGAGAGAGTGCGGAAGCATAAGCCAGTGAGGTGCGCAGAGGCTGAGGCAGAATGAAGGAGAAACAAAGAAAAAGGCCCCAGATGAAGAACAAACGACGGACGAAGAAACGGAACGGCGTTATTTAAACGGGAAACAAAGCCGTGTAGGGTCCAAACTAAGTCCGTACTCCCTAATCCGTATTTGCGTTAAAAATAAGTCCCCCATGAGGCTTCCTTTTCCCAACCGGAGACGTATTTATTTAACGCTTTCATACGACGCCGTTTTTGCTTTACCTAATCTTCGTTAGTTAATTAATTAATTAATTAATTAGTATTATTAAATTTTGTTACATATATACACATATGTCTGGAGTTTTTTTAGGTTAAAATATTACTTTGGTTTCCAAATCAAAAAAAAATATATATATATAGCTCTGTGCATATATATACAAATATATACTAATTTGGTCAGGGTACTTTTAACTATGGTTCACTTTAATCTGTGTACTCTCAAAATATTTATTTTGATTTTTATACTTTTAACTTTAATTTATTTTATTTCCTATACTTTACAAAATTTTCATTTTGATCAATATATTTTTAAAAACTAACCATTTTGATATCTTTTTAATCACAATCTCAACATCACATTGCTATCAAATTTTTTATCATTTTTTAAAGTAATTGTATACTTTAAAATTTTAAATTTAAAATCCGAAAAGCTGAAAACATAATAAGTTATTTTAAAAAATTTAAGATCACATAATTAAAAAAAAAACAAAGATGATAAAAGAAAAACTTTGCGCCACTAAGTCAACACTACATACCCTATTTAAATTTGAAGGTATTTGTTATTTCATGATTATTGGTGAATTGTCAAACAAAAAATTGTTAAAATAACACAAATGGATCAACTACAATAAAAATAAATAATAAAAATAATAAAAAAAGCATCTCACAAAATAAACCTATAACTGAAAACTTTTGGAAATCCATTATTGGGGAAAAAAAATCACAATCTAAATGAGCTTGGAGATTAAGGATTTGCAAAATTTACATACAGCCAAAGTAAGGGAAAAATTACCATAGAAATAGAATCAAAATATTTAATATTTGTTTAAATATATTATCGAACAAAATATACTTTCAGTTCCTAAGGTTTGAGTTAATATAAAAATGCATTATGTCCTGAAGCTTCATAATTATTAAATATTTTATTATTTATTATAAAATAATTATTTGATTATTTTAATAGTATGTCTTTTGTGAAAATCCAAATTATAAATGTAATATTGAGCGGTATGTAGTTGAGATACAATATCGAATTATAATCTAAAGAGTCGTTATATGAGCAAAGTTGGGTCTCATGTCTTTCAGGTGATAATCATTGGGTTGGGTAGGGTTTTTCTTTTTTTTTTTTTACTAAAGTCGATGTTGAAACTGACAAAATGGAAACAGACTCTTTTTTAAAACTTTATTAAGTTGAGTCGGTCGATTTCGATCTAAACTTGAATAATTTTTCTTTTATTTCACATATTGATCAAATGTTGCTCGATCTTAATCCTAAATTGGAATATAATCTTCTGGTCGAGATGACGTACCATTTGATTTGTAGGGGTGAGATGACTTTTAGTCAATTAAATATGCCTATTATTCTGGGACTTGACCAAATAAGAAGTTCGGGAACGGAATCTCACGAGATGAAATTATTCTTCATATATCCAATAAATAGATAAGAGTATATTTAGTAACGTTTCCGTTTTCTATTTTTTGTTTCTGTTTATCATTTTTTGAGAAACAAGACATATTCGGTAATCCTTCCCATTTCTTATTTATAAATTTTGAGAAATGTTTAAAAAAAAAAGGGCTAAATTTTGGAAACTACGAAAAGTAATTTTGTTATTCCTATTTCTTTTTCTCGAGTTTAGATTAGATAATTTATATTATGTAAAAATGAACAACATGGACCCTCAATTCTGTTGGTGGTGTGGGCGGTCCCTATAAGTTACAGGGAGGGAATAAGCTCAAATCCATGATGGTTACCTGCAATTAACAAAAATGTATTAGGTGTATTATTGCTTCTGGTTCTAAAATAATTAACTTTAAGTTAACAGACGAAAGTTGATTAATTAATAAGTTTAACTAATTGATTTTATATCATTGAAGCTTGTAATATGTTGGTCCAGTCTTGTTGCTAGCTATTGAAAGGTTGAAATTTATATTTAATATCATGATTTGCGGGAATGGGCTTAGCTATCTCGGATTGAAGAATCCCACGGCCTAAGTCCACTAATACCAAACCAATTGACGGCCCATCACAAGCTATTGGGCCAGTCTCCTACTTTTGGCCATTTAAAGCCCGATTCTGTAAAATCAGATTCAAGTTTCAACATAATAATCAAAATTCAGGGCTAAGTACATGTTTTGGTCCCTAATCTAGGGGTATTTTTTCAAAATTTCCTCTAATCTTTTTAAAGACTTAAATTTCTATCTCTAATGTAATGAATTATTTTTCAATTAATTCATTATTATTAAACATTAAAATTAATTCACAAAATGATGATGTACAGATATATTTTATTACTTGAGTTAAAAAGGACTTCTGATGAAATAAATATAGTACTCACCATAAAATATAAAATGTAATCGTTCTATGTGATTGAGTACGTAGTAACTTGATAAAAAGGTACACCAATAATTGTCAAACTCATAAAAATGACTGAGTTTTAAATTCATATACCGTCATTTGTTTCTTTTAATATTTAATGAGACGCGGAATGACATTTAATTTTAAGAGTTTTAAAAATAAAAGATTTTGAATCGCGGCCAATCTATACTATATTAAAAATGTAGGATGTAGGAAAAACATTTTTGGACACGTTTGCCCTTTACTAAATATTATTATAAATATTAAATTAATTATTAATTATTAATTATCCATACTATAAATGCATGGAATATAAAAGGTTAGAATGCAAAAAGTTTTCCAACAACATAAAATTAATTTTTTCTT